GCCCTCAGACCCCCCTTCCGACTCCCCATCTTCCCCTTCCCCCCACCTACCTTGACTGGGAGCCCCAAATCCCCCTGTACCTCGGGGTCCAGCCCCCGCAGCTCCTCCTCTGGGACTGTCACTATGAACACCTCCTCTGTGATGGAGGGCTGCAGCGGGGTGGATGGCGGGCTGCCATCCCCCGAGGCCTGTCTTTCTGCTTGCTCCTTCTGGTCCATCTGAAATAAGTAAGCCTTCGAGTGCAGGGTGACCATGGACACGTGCACTCCCGTGGAGGCCGAACATCCAGGACACTGGTAGGCGTGATATTCACACATCGTCCATGAAACCATTCCCTGCACTCGTCTCACATGATCATCAGACCCCCATCATCTGGGCCCCTACACGAACAATAAATGTTTCTGCCCCTTTTTCCCTTGTGCCCCAGCTCATCTATCTCCTCCCAATTTTTCCCTGATATCACCTGGGCCTGTAATTTTCTACACCAATTAGGGACTTCCCTATCTGTACACAACTTAATCCGGTCATGGTGTGCCACTACCATAGCCTTCCTCATTTTGACCCTGTACAGGTAGGGCGTGAGACTTTCCAACACCACCCCCGGGCCCTTCCATGAAGGCGTTAATTTCTTACATTTTCCCTTAATGGTTGCTGTATCCAATTGGTACACTAAGTCCCCCACCTGAAACCTCTTGACCACCACCTTGAGGTCATAGTCCCTTTTGAGACGTTCTTGTGCCACTTTGAGATTGGCACGGGCCAATTCATGGGCCCCTTGGATCGCCCCCTCTAGGTCGGATACATATTGCTCCCTATCTTTGATGTTTCCCCCTTGGGTCCCCTTAAACATCAACTCCGCCGGCTGATTGACCTCCCTCCCAAGCATGAGATGATTTGGAGTAAACCCTGTGCTCTTACTGACGGACGCTCGGAACGCCCCGGCTAATTGCGGGAGGAATAGATCCCAGGACTTCTGATTTTTTCCCACGAAGCACCGCACTGAGGCCATCAAGGTCCGATTGCAGCGCTCTACTTGCCCATTGGATGAGGGGCGGTATGGGGTTGTTCTACTTTTGTGTATTTGAAGTAGGTCGCACATGGCTTTAAACAGATGGGACTCAAAATTCCTTCCTTGGTCAGTGAATACTTGAAAGGGACTCCCGAAACGAGAGAAGAATTCGTTCACTGCTGTCCGGGCAGTTAGCTCGGCGCCCTGGGATGGGAGTGGGATACATTCCACCCATTTGGTGAACTGGTCTATCATCATGAGGATGTGTTCATTACCTCGTTCTGTTTTTGGAAGGGGTCCCACAAAGTCTAGGTGAACTCTTTCCATGGGCGCCCCCGCATGATGTTTTACCATGGGATGTCTGTTGGTACGGGTAGCCTTTTTATTCTGGCTACACAAGGCACAACTTGCTACATACCTTTCAATCTCTTTCTTCATCCCCCTCCAATAGTAAGACGATTTGACTCTTTGGTATGTTCGGTCCCCCCCCCCCCCCTTGATGGCCCGCTGCGGGAATATCGTGACACAACTCCATTAGCCTTTGCCGCATCAATTGAGGGATAACCACCCTTTTTGAATCCCCTGTCGGACTCTCTTTGTAAAGGACATTATCTTCCCCCAAGACAAATAATTCCCTATTTAACCAATAATACTTGGTCGCGGGGCTACTCAAGAAAATTTCCCCTTCCGAGGGCTCCTCCTTTGTCTTTCTCCATTGGACCACCCATTTGAATTTCGGGTCATCGCCCTGATTCCCCAACAATTCCCCCTGACTGATTCCCAAGTTAACCCCTGAGTCTTCCCCTATTTCCTGCACCCATATATCACCCTCGCCTTCCGTCCATATGGCCAACTCGTCCCCCAGTCTAGACACAGACACCCGAGATATCTGCACAAGTTGCTCCTTGGTGCCTGTAAGCTTTTTAACACGGGCAGATTTTTTAGCCAAAGGTATAGTATCATCGACATTCACTGTGAACTGCCCCCAATTTTGTTGGGCCCTTGTGCAGTACGTACACCCCCCACAGGGCAGGTCGGTTAACCCCAGCTCCACTCGGAACCCGGGGCACGGGCCTTCCTGGGGCAACCGGGACAAAGCGTCAGCATTGGGATGTTTAGCCCCTGGCCGGTGTTTGATTTCCATATCGAATTGACTGATTTCTTCCAGCCATCTGGCTAATTGCCCCTGGGGTTCCTTGAAATTGGAAAGGTGAGACTGCTATGGTCAGTCCTAACCACAAACCGCCGTCCCAGCAAGTAATGCCTGAACAGCCTAGTGAACCTGACAATAGCCAGCAGCTCCTTTCGGGTGGTACAATATTTTTGTTGTTCTGGGGTGAGGGTGAAGCTAGCATATGAAATGGCTCTTTCCTGCCCTCCTTGGACTTGCAATAATTCTGCCCCAATGGCCTTATCAGAAGCATCCGTGTCCAAGATAAAAGGGTCTGTGGCATTGGGCAATGATAGGACAGGGGCTGAAACCATGGCCTCCCTGAGTTTGTCAAAAGACTCTTGTTGCTCGTCACCCCATGAATAAGGGCGCTTTCCGGTCAGGGCTTGAAGCGGTAAGGCTAGGTTCGTATAGCCCTTTATGAACGCCCGGTGATAATTCGCAAACCCCAAGAACCGTTCTACCTCTTTTGAGTTCCGGGGTTTTGGCCAGTTCTGAACATCTTTTACGTATCCTGGGCCTATTTCCATCCCCTCTGGGCCCACAATCCTCCCCAGAAATTCCACTTTCTTCCTAAACAGGTCGCACTTTCGGGGTTTTAGTTTGAGCCCGTACGTTCGGAACCGTTCAAATACCACTCTTAAATTGGCCAGATGATCCCCAAAATCCCTCCCCAGGACCAGTATATCGTCCAAAAAAGCCAACACCACCCTCCATGTCAACCCTCGTAGTACAAGGCTTATAACCCGGGCATAAGTGGCTGGGGCATTGCATAGCCCAAAGGCCATGCGTGCAAACTCGAACAACCCGTACTTGGTGATAAAGGCGGTTTTGGGCCGGTCCTCCTCCCTGATCTTCACCTGCCAGTACGCCGAATTGGCGTCCAGCTTTGAGTACCACACATTACCGGCAAGGGTGTCTAGGCACTCTTCTACTAAGGGCAAGGGGAAAATTTGGCGGGAACAGGCCCCGTTGACCTTTCTATAGTCCACACACCACCTCACGCTGCCATCCCTCTTACGTATGAGAACTGGGGCCGAGCCCCATTCCGATACGGATGGTTGGATTACCCCCGACTGTAACATTTTTTCCAACTGAGCCTCTTCTTCCTGGGCGAACCCTAAGGGCGTACGCCGCATTCGCTGTTTAATAGGCGGGTGATCCCCCGTGTCAATACTATGCTCCAGGGCAGTGAAATGTCCTAGGTCGAGATCGCTACAGGCAAAGACATCCTGACAAGACCTCTTAAACATCTCTTGCAAGTGTTGAGGCAACTCCTTTTTCTCAGAATTTTCAGCCACCTCCATCTTGTATACCTTCGGACTCTGGTGCCCCCCCCCCCCCCCCCCCCCCACCTCAACTTCCTGGGCCCGGGCCAGTAAGTCCCCTTTTGTTATTGCGAGAGGGCTATCTGAGAGGTTGATCACACACAACACTGGGTCTTGACCCACCTCATGTAAAGTCCTAGGTATCAGCAGATTTCCCTCGGCCTTTGCCTCGATGATATATTCCCGACCCATGGGTTCAGCCAACACCCCTATCACTCTTTTAACCGAATTTGCTGGGACTATGTGATTCTTCCCCGCCCGCACCCCCGTTGTTTGGGGCAGCAACCTAGCCTGACCCCATGACATCTGTACGACCTTCCCATAGATGGATAGTTGATTCCTATGTAGGTCAAGTGATATGCCCTGTGCCCTGAGGAAGTCTATTCCCAATAGCATTTGATCCCCTATTGGAGCCACATAAATGTCCCAGGTGTATTCCTGTGTTCCAAGCCCCACCTGAAAAGGCCCAGCGACAAAACCGTTCATTTGAAGGCCTTTTCCTGCTGTGTTCATGACCACCTCTTTAAGGATCGGGGGGGGGGGGGGGGGTACTCCTTCAAACTCTTATATAGTTCCTCAGATATTAAGGTAACCTGAGCCGCGGTGTCAACCACGGCATCAACCTTTTGACCCTGGACTACAACAGGCACCCTATACATGGTCCCACTTGTTAACTGGCTTATGGTTACCATTTCTCTCTCCCCCTGTGCTATAAGGTCCCCTTCCCGATCACTGTTTGGGCTGTCCTCGCACAGTGTTTGTTCCCCTTCCTCCCCCGACTCTTCACCCTGTGACTCGGATTCAGACATTTCTGGTGTTGCGGGGCTGTTGGGCTCACTTTCAGATATCCCCCATGGCCATGCTGTTTGTGCTGGATCCACATTGATTTGGGAGTGAGGGTCTGGTGGGTCAGTGGGAGGGAATTCCTCTACCCCCGGTTCTTGTGGAGGGGATTGTCCGACAATTATGTCCTGGGTTGGCAGTTTCTGAAAATCAGTGACTTCTTTAAAAGAATTCCCCTCTAGAAGGGCCAATTGGTCCCCATGAGCCATTCCTATCTGACTTATGGTACCCTCCCTATTAAGGTGTGACGGGAGGGGTGGTTTGTGGCTTATTATGAGGTCCTTTAAACTCCGTGGTTTAGGGGCCAGACTCAGACCTCTTGAGTCGACCCGTTGGGGTTTAACGGACCCTTGTTGTCCTGGAAAGTTACTTTCTTGCCCCCTGGTCTAGGAGAACTAGATCTCTGATATTTAGGGCATTCCCTTTTAAAATGACCTACTTCACCACAGTGAAAACAGCCACCATTGGCAGGCCTAGGGGAGGTAATCCGCGAGGCGGGCCTTGCATTGTTCCGCACTGCGAAGGACAACTTTTGGATCTCCGACATAATGTTCCCCAGGGTTCCTGTTACCTCCCCTTTGAAAGCATTAAACTGAGTTTTTAACTCCTGAACATCCTTGGGGGGGGGGGGGGGGGGGGGGGGGGTAGAACCAATGGCTTCGGACCTTGTGGTGGAGCATATGGTATAATTGTCCCCACCCTTACCTCTGGTATCAGGGCTGACACTTTTAACCTCCTTTCTGGCGGCACGGCCATATATGGCTTGGTGGTTATGTTGATGCCACCTGATTTTGTCCACCGCCTCTTCAATACTCTTGGGTTTAGCATTGGAGGCCAACATTCCCCCCTCCTTGTCTGAGGCCCCCTGGCACAATCTCATGACCGCCTGTTGGTACATGTGGTCCTCGAGCAGGTGGCGAAAGGCTTTTGTGGCGAGGGATAGGACTCTGTCGGCCCAGTCCTCCAGGGTTTCGTCCCCCCCCCCTCTGCCTGGCAATGATAAACTGAACCTGAGCGGTTTCTGGCAACTCATTGAACCCAAACCATTTGGCCAACTTACTCACTAAATCCTCGTAGGACAAATCATGCCTTCTTTCCACCAGCAAGGCATAAAACTCACTGGGCTTTCCATCTAGGGACCAGCACAATTGGTCCTTGCACTCCCCTTGAGACCATCCACTGACCTGGCACAATCGCGAGAACTTGGCGTAAAAAGCCTGCCAATTAGTCTTCCCATCGTACTTGAGACTCTTTTGTAGGATGGGTGGTTTGCCCCCAGTTGGCCCCCTTGGCCTGTCTTGAAATCTCTGGGTATCCGACCCCGCCATAGCCTCCTGGTGGTCATATGCATCCCTTCGAGAACTCCTTTGGTCTCCAGTTTCCCGTCTTGCTGCCCCTGGGTACCCCATACTACTGGCCTGTCTCGTCACTGGGGCCTCATTTTCGATATGGGCGTCTCTAAACCTTGGGCCCTCACTATCGGTATACCGGTTAGCTAAGCCCCCCTTTCCCTGCCTGTGCTCCCTGCATTGCTATACCGGGATCGAGGTGTTTCCTCATACCTGTAGTCTCTGGTATTCCCATACTGGGGCATGGGCTTGTCCCTTCTGTCCTGGTAGACCCCTTCTTCCCTGAACCCCCGGTTAAGTTCCCCACCATCTTGCCAGTTTAGGTGCTGGGAGGGGGAAGGTGACCTAGCCGCCCTTGCCCTTGGCGTTTCTCCTGCTGGGGTGGGGTAGTCATGGGTGGTGGTCTGGCCCCTGCCGCGTGCCTGTATTAGATTATCAATACGTTGCACTTTTTCTTGGTGCCCTATCTCCTCCTTGCAAAATTTGTCAGCCCCCCTGTTGGATGGCAAGGAGGTACTAAAATCCATGGCATCCATGGCTGCTTCCGTAAGTCTCATATATGGGACATACCTGAGATCCTCCAACTCTAGGATACCCTTATCCTCCCTCAATTCCCAAATCTTTGCTGCTATTTTTGCCCCTACCCCTGGAATTGATAACAATTCCTCAAAAGTAGCTGAGTTTATATGCACTCTAGCCATGGTGACACGTATTACAACTATATATATGAACTATTTAAAATTGGGCATGTACCGGTGTCTCTGCTAAAGGGCCTTTTTATTTGGTATTGTTTAAACAACAAGTTTTATAACTGGGGATCAAGCTTATAAGTTGACCCCAGAGGTATTTTTATGCAAAGTGTATGTGTGTAATGTTTTAAAGTTAGACACTTACAATTTTTCTTCTTTTTTTTCTTTATAACCTGATAACTGCTGCTGCACTGTGGAATGACACGTAGTGCAATGCGCGGCTGAATTGGATTCAGGGGTTACACAATTCCCTACAAGGGTTTTTCAGAACAAATATGGGGTTCACACAATTCCCTACAAGGCTCCGCAGACGGTCAAGTGTGAAAATCCCTACAATATTACAAATCCGTGACTGAAACTTAGTCACAAAAGTTTTCCCTTCCCTGTGCTTTGACTTTCCCTCCCGAATTGACTACACCAGCGAAACCGTGGGTAGCCAAAAACTAGAAATAGGTGACCTGTCAGGGATCCCCTAAAAACAAAATGGAGGTGCTGTTTGGGCCCCTTTTTGAAGTATTCTTCGCTTAAGAATTCATCTCCCCGAGTGAATTAGTACGAAAAATGCTCGCAGCGCCAATGTAAGCTTTTTATAAACTTACCTTGACTAAACTAGGCTTCTGAACGATTATTACTAATAGTAGAATCAGCTGGACTTTTCAGCGGGTGTGCTTCTGCTTCCAGTTTTTCCGATTGACAGATCCGGAACGAGGCTCTCTGTCTTCCGGATCTGTCTCCTCCTCCAGTGGAGCACCACCGACCCTACCCCGAGGTACTACATACCTATCCCAATTTGTTTATTAGTGATAAAATTCAAGAGTAAAAACTGATGTCCAGAGCAATGGAGACGTCTGCTTCTGCTTGCTTGAAATAAATTATGGGTCGGTACCTTGCGTTCACTACATTATATGGTGTGCTACTAATTATCCAAATAAGAAAATTTGATGCATTAACTTACTTTGATCGCTATTACTTCGCTTCGAAGGCAACATGTTCTAGACGGTGAATAAGCTAGAAAATATTTCATTTTAATAACTCAATATTTGCATGCTTATTATGTAATTAGAGTATTTATTACTAAGAAAATGATTAAAATTACTCAATCAAAGAGGAAGATGTTAAGTACTGTGTATGTATGACATAACATGTGACAGGTAATTACAATCAAAACTTAAATCGACTGAAGAGAGGATTTATTCAGTTCCTTATTTTTATCTACGATTTTAATTGTATAAAATGGGGAAGCCAGCAAGAGTTTGACAGTGTATTAAATCAATTATCATTATGAAATATAGCATATATAATAATTTTGGAGTCAAGTTTACATTTGGGCTTATTATTTTTTAACCTGTACAGGTAAATTACAGGTAAAATTTATCCAAATCAATATTTGATATGAAATATATAAGATATTAATCCAAAAAATATACAACCTTAATAAAAATCCGGTCATTACGAAACCATGCTAGTTTGAAGAGAAAAGAACTTAAATCTTTACATCATTTCATTGAAATGAGTTTACAGTGACGATCAGCCAATATCACAGTTCACAATATCGCAAGCTGTTAGTATTAGATTTAGGACCAGAACCAATCTTGAGAAAAATCTGATGGGTGGTTTGAATTGGTTAATTAAATAATTAATTTTCAAAAAGCATATACATGCTATAGCATTCAAATCATTTATTACAAATATGACACAATGAAAAACAGCAGAAAATAACACACATTAACAATTGATCTAGTTTTGGCCAAGAACAGTAGTATTTTGGTTAATAATGTGACCTTACAGGTTAGTATACAGGACAAACTAAAACAAAATGATATTCGTCTTCAACAACATTGATATTACAGCAAAGACACAGTCGTAATTCTCTTGGAATCGAACGTCACAAAAGAAATTAAAATAATTTTCAAGACGAAAATCTGTCTTGATTCTTCTATACATACAGAGGTTTTCACAATCATATAACAATGCTAGCCACTCTTGTAAAGATTGATCAGTAATACGTTTTTTAACAATGTCAAAAACTACAGTTGTTACATCCTGTGAAATCCAAACAAAGTGCAGGCCAAGATTAGATACAAAATCCCGTACACAAGAAACCAAATTTGTTTTACCATTATTGATATCTTTATACAGAAGCATGTAAACATTGTAAACAACATTTGGTTTTTTCAATATAACCTGAAACCAAAATTTTTAAATTCTAATACGTCTTGGTGGGGTTCGTGTTGCTCAGTCTTTAGTTTTTTATGTTGTGTTTTGTGTACTACTGTTTGTCTGTTGGTCTTTTTCTTTTTAAGCCATGGTGGTGTCAGTTTATCATCGACTTATGAGTTTGAATGTCCCTTTTTGGTATCTTTCGCCTCTCTTTTGAAATGTTCATAGGCAAATGCCCAACTTCATTACAAATAAAATAATAGGTACATTTTTACCGACTTTTACAAGAAATCTACAAAAAACGGTTATGAATTAATTCAATATGACGAGCATGATGAAAGCCCCATAAGTTGCTATGTAAACATTTTTAAGAGTATTCATTAGTGAGAATAAGGCCTTGGATTCTTGCTGAACCAGACTTTCTCTGTTTTTAGAAATTTGCAATTAGAATGCAATAATATTCCGAGGTAAAGGTACGAATCAACTATTAAATGTTCATTATTGTCATAGAAAAAAATATTCTTAACCCACTGCCATCCCCTTCTTAATACCATCACTTTGGTTTTATCAGTGTTTACTTCAATATTCAATTTTATACAGTATGTTGACAATTTATTAAGTAGTTGCTGTAAAATATCAGGTGATTTCCTAAACAAAACGGTATCGTTTGCTAATAAATTGAGATATATCATGTATTTCAAATATTCGTTCAGTGTTACGACATCATCAGTTATATCAATAGATAATTCATTGACTATCGTTTATGAAAAATAAAAATAACAGAGGAGATAACGGTTCTCCATGTTTCACATCAAACAGATTTTCAAAAGATTTGGACAGCAAACCACAAGATTTAACATGAAGTTGCATAGACGAATATATAAATTTCACCATAGCTACAAATTTAGTGCTTTATCTATTTCGTAATAATTTGTATATAAAGATTCTTCTACTGAGTTTATCAAACGCCTTTACGGATATCCACAAAAACGTAGTATGATTTCCGTTTTTGTTGAATAACATGCGATATAATAATGTGGAGAACAAATATGGCATCTATGGTAGATTTGCCTGGACTAAACCCAAACCGAGTGGCCATTAAGTTTTCCTCTTCTTTACACCAAGATAGTAAACGGTTAGTAAGTATGCTTGTAAAAAGTTTTGATAGGACACCCATAAGCACGATAGGTCCATAATTGTTGGGATCCGATAAATCACCGCTTTTCGGTACGGGAATGACGGTACACTCAGTCCAAAAATCAGGATATGTTCCATTGTCGAATATGTAATTGAATAATGTTTTTAAATCGGTGCAAAAAATAACGGACTAGCTACTAAACATTTCACCGACAATGTTACCATTTCCTGCACTTTTCCCAGATTTCAGTTTCATAATCGCTTTTACTATATCATCTTCTGTGAATTCGGATTCTAAAACATTTATGTATAAATTATCAAACATTTCATTATTCAATAGATTCAAAACTTTCTCACAAACCTCCGGAGGATCAGCACGAAGAACATTTTCAAAATATTTAGACATCTTTTCATTATCGATTACAAATTTCATACTTTTAGGTTTAACAGCTGACCAAAATCTTCAGGGATCCGTTTTGCCTATAGTACACAGTTCCATGCTTTTTCGTCGTTTAAAAGTATATTTTGCCTGCCGTTTTATTTTGTGAAATTATTTCTCGCAACTATGTAAGAAAGTCTGTTTACATCATTAGGATGACGTTGAAAAAAGTTCCCTGGTTTATGAAAATTTTGGCGAGCGTTAACACATTAATCATTAAACCATTCGTGATTCAGCCTTTCTGAATTGTTGTTGCCTCTGAATGATACAGTACGACAAAAAATTCCAAATTATATAATATTTCCGTGATTTTTCAAACTAATGAGAAAAGACTGTCCTGGTGTGAACGTAACGATTGTATATACTCATTGTTTCGGTCACTATTTCACTTTATAAAAGTATGTACCATGGGCGGCTTGAACGGCGGACGATTATTAGAAAAGTCCAATTAATTCAAAATGGGCGCATGATCTGAGAATTCATTAAACTGTAGTACCTTGAAACCAATAACTTGATTCTAATTGGACGGTGAAAGTAATAAATAGTTATTTACACTGTTTCCTGTTTTATATATAAAAAAGAAGATGTGGTATGATTGCCAATGAGACAACTCTTCACAAGAGACCAAATGACAGGTCACCGTACGGCCTTCAACAATGAGCAAAGCCTATACCGCATAGTCAGCTATAAAAGGCACTAAAATGACAAATGTAAAACAATTTAAACGAGAAAACTAACAGCCTGATTTATGTACAAAAAAATAAACGAAAAAACAAATATGTAACACATCAACAAACGACAACCACTGAATTACAGGCTCCTGACTTGGGACAGGCACATACAAACAGAATGTGGCGGGGTTAAACATGTTAGCGGGATCCCAACCCTCCCCCTAACCTGGGACAGTGGTGTAACGGTACAACATAAGAACGAACTATAAAAATCAGCTGAAAAAGGCTAAACTCATCAGATGGATACAAATAGAAATACATCTAACAAAAACATAGAGTGGGCGTGGCCGGGTACTTGTACATCCCAACAACAAAAAAACACTAAGTACAGATCTGAGAGTACTCGCAGTTACTGACAGCTAGTTCAAAGCCAATAACAACTAAAAAAAATCATGCATCTAAGACTAAATTATCAATCATTACACATCCAACATCCAATGGATTTAGTGTAAAGACGTCATAAACAGTCAGAGAAAAACATGACCTTGTGTTTTAGTACAGAAAGAAAAGTTTCCATTCTGATCACTTCCTAGTCTACCGTTTGCTACAATTAAACCTGTATTGTAACACAACTGAAAAAATTTACGGCCAAATGCGTTAACTGTCTTGTCTATAGATACTTTATTTGGAATATTCGAAATTAATAGAGCTATGATACTTTTTTTTTCCACGCGTTCCAATTGTTAATTAAATTTGTCCTTAACAGTTGTTAAATGATTTATTGTATCAAATTTGTTCTTTAAGAATCAGTTATTTCTATTCACTTTCCAGTGCACGTTTGTTTACATTCTTTCATCACGGTTTTCCCTCGCTCTTCAAT